ATTGCAATAAATATTCTTGGAAATATCTTCTTGCCTATAAGAGCATGAGTTTCCAGCTAGGCTGGAATTGCTGGGGGCAGAGGCAATGTGCATCTTCAGCTTTACTGGACTGGTCTCCAAATTGGTGGCACCACATCACCCTGCCACCTGTACTGTAAGAGTTTCCTTTGTTCTACCTCCTCACCGCCACTTGGTTTGGCCAGTGATTCTAACCCCCTTCTCCCACCCCAGCCATGTAGGAGAGTAGTCATTTCTCTGAATTCTGTCACCACGAAGTATTATCAGTTTTTCATCTTTGCTAATTTTAGGCCAAAAAAAAAAAAACCCACAAGATATCAGTTGATGATGTCTAAATACATTTGATTCATTTTTTTCAAATTATAAAAATCACAAGTTGTTTTAGAAAATTTGAAAATATAGATATGCCAAAAAAGAAAGAATAATCCCCTTTAATCCCTCTGCTGAAATATAATATCAAATATCTGACATTTGTTGAATGTTTTACTCTACATATACCTAGGGTGGCTTTTGATACCTAATATTTCCACAAACAGGATTTACTAATGGGCATTTAATATACATGATATATATATATATATATATATATATATATATATATATATATATCTACACACACACACACACACATACATACACATACATATATATGATGCATATAGGTATGTATTTCACCTAAAAAGTACTACTTTTTTATAAGCTTATTGTTTTCACCAAACAAGTAAGTCACAATCATTTTCTCATATCATCCCTATCTATTCTGGACTGAAGAGTGTTATTTTTATTTTTATTTATTTATTTATTTGTCATTGAAAGTACTGGGGATCGAACCCAGGACCTGGTGCTTGCTAAACATGTGCTCTACCACTGAGCTATACCCTCCACCCCCAAGAGTGTTATTTAAAGATTTCCATGTTTATATCCATCTGTCTCCCTTCACCACCCAGACACCAAAGACCAAACTGAACCCAGCAACAAGTCCTAGGAAGCTGGCTTGCTGCTGGTTGTATAGTGGTACAACTAACTTAGCCCTACGTGGAAATGCAATTAACATATGAGAACTCTTCAGTACTCAGGGAGGCCAACTCCCACCTCCGACTTAGAGCCTTCTGCTGGGGACCGCCAACCCTATCTGCCCATCAGAAAACATAACAGGCAACTCCTTTTAGCTGCTGGCTCTCCTGCGCCCTCATCCCACACGCTTACGTTTTCTCACCACCACTACCCTTCATTGTAAACATATTACCTGTATCCTCAGCCTCTTGCCTTCATGGTCCACCCCCTAAAACAGCAAACTCTCCAGACACTGATGCATAGGAAGTTTGATATTCAATTCTCTTATGTGGCCTGGCCCATGTGGACACTTGAGGAGGTGAACTATATTTGGATTTGATTCAGCTTCCACGGCAGAAAAGACTGCAATGGATGTACCATTGCTCGTCTAGACTATTGCAATAGCTCTCACTCCCTCAAGCGTTGTCTTTCTCCCCACTGCGCCTTCTGCTCCACGAATTCACCCACATAGCTGTAAGTGAGCTTCCTAAAAATTAATTCTGTTTTGCCATTTCTCTGCACAAAATACTCCAGTGTGCTGCCCTGTACTACAGGATAAAGCCCAAATGCCTGCTGCAAGGCCCTCTGGGATCTCTGCCGCTGCTGCCATTCCACCTACCACTCCTGCCTCACTCCGTCTGCTCTAGTAATTCTGAGTTGTTCTCTGCCCTCCTGATGCCATTTCCCACTCTTGTGCCTTTGCACATACTTCCTTTCCTGTCTAGAATGTCTCCCCTTCTTGTTTACCTGGAAAACTCCTATTCATCCTTCAAAGTCCTATTCGAAAGATACTCCCACCAACTCAAAGTGCCACCCTACATATTCCTCATTCATTACAAAGAGGAAAAGTTACCTTTACAATGTAGAAGCCAAGCTAATGCCACCTCAACCAGGGGGTCAAAATTATCATCATCATTAATGGGACAGACAGATCTCACATGCCCCCAGGGAGATGTACTGAGAATGACACATTGTGGTACTGTTCTTGCCAAAAATATTTCCCCTGAACCCAATCCCAAAGGAATGCTCAAACACTTCCAAATTGAAAGAAGGTCTGCAAAACTGGCCCGAGCTCTTCACAAACGTCAATGCCTAGGAAAGACGAAAGCAAAACCAAAGGCTCAGAAACGGTTCCAAATTAAAAGATGCAAAAGAAGCGTAATAATAAATGCGATGTGTGATCCTTGATTCCTTCCTGGATAAAAGGGGGAAAAAACAGCTACAAATAACATTATTGGGAGGACTGGTGAGTTTTGAATATGGAGTATATATTAGATAATAATGTCGGGTCAATGTTAAATTTCCTGAGTACGGTCACTGTATTGTAGTTGTGTATGACAGTGTCCTTGTTCTTAGGACATTCAGAAAGGGCTAGAGTGTTGCTATATCTGCAGTTAACAATGGCTCAGCAAAAAGAAAGAAGCAAACAGATAAATATGTGTGTTCGTATATCTAAACGGAGAGAAAAGGGAAATGTGATGAAGTCTTAACAATAGGAGAGTCATAGGTGAAGGGGAAACAGGTGCTCATTATTCTGGTCCTGCCGCTTTTCTGTAGGTTAGAAATTTTTCAAAACAAACACTTGGATAGAATAAACAATAAAAAAAAAATGAACAAAAAGCTTTGTTCCAGGTCATGTTTTCTGTGAAGCCTTTCATGACATCCTCCGTATCGCCCCCAATCCCCAAGGACACACACATAACACAATGAATCACCCTCTCTTCTGGACTCTTTCATGGTGATCTAGCTCTCTGACCAAACTATAAGCTCTTTGATATCCAGGCCTGGGTGTGTTGTACTGGGTCTACACAATGCTAGGACTGTAACTGACACAGATTGGATGCTCAGCTGATGTTTTTAAATTTAAAAATTCTTTCTTTATTTTTCTTTTCTCTATTATTATTATTTTTTGCACTGGGGGTGGTGATTATGTTTGTTTATTTATTTATTTTTTACATAGAGGAACTGGGGAATTGAACCCAATACCTTATGCATGCTAAGCGCACATTCTACCACTGAGCTATACCCTTCCACCCTATTATTAATTTTTTTTTTTAAATTGAAGTATAGTCAGTTACAATGTGTCAGTTTCTGGTGCACAGCATCATGTTTCAGTCATATGTATATTCCTTTTGATATTCTTTTTCATTATAGGTTACTACAAGATATTGAATATAGTTCCCTGTGCTCTATCAGCTGAATTTTTTTTTTAATTAGTAAAGCTGATTCTTGAGGCTTGGAAAGGATTCAGGAAGCAGGCAGGATCGAGCAAGTTTTCTTAAGCGAGAGGAATGGCCGGAGCAGAAGTAAGGTATTTTGCAGTTACCAAGAACATTCAATTGGTTTGGTCAGAGCTGCAGATATTTATATAAGTGGAAATGCCTAGCACACAACAGATTCTTAATAAAAATTTGGTGAGTCAATGAATGAATGAGATTGGAAAGGCAGGCTTGGAACAGAGAGGAAAGGGCCCTGGCCGCTGACTTGAGAAATCTGAACATTAACTAGTTCCTGACACCCAGGTTCTTTTCCCAGTGGCAGGAAGAGAGTGTGTTCCTGAGCAAATCTCTTACATATTTTTTTTCCCTCAGTAATAATGAAAAGTAGAGATAAGTGAAAGTCTGAAAGTGACCCATTTCCAAACTCAGGAGGAGAAAACATCTTCTCCTCACCCATCCAGGAAAAGCTCTACAGTGGAGTTTTAAGACATCCAATATCCCTCAGATGAAAGGGCATTACAGGCTATTGGCTGGAAAAAGAAATAAATGAATCTATTTAATACGAGCCACGCTTGTCTTTGAGAAGAGTGTACAGAATTATTTGGGTTAATTTTACTACATTTTTAAAGTTTAAGGAGCACATCTTTGCACACAACCTATTTAATACGAGCCACGCTTGTCTTTGAGAAGAGTGTACAGAATTATTTGGGTTAATTTTACTACATTTTTAAAGTTTAAGGAGCACATCTTTGCACACAACCCAAAATGATAAGGAGTGAGGGGGAAGTAACGAATCTCTCACCTGCACTGTGAAAGAATTTGTTAGTTTTAGGTTATAGTTGTTTTGAATCTTCAGTCAAATTCTACAAAAATCTTAGCTGAAAGGAAATGCAAATCTCAGGGAGCAATTAAAACAATCTACTTTGGGCCCAATTATGATGGAGCATTGACTTGTTTCAGTATTTTGAACATGCCTGGGAAGAGACCATGGGTGGTGGTCAAAATGACTTGTAGTTTACAAAGCACAGGGGCTTTCTCTTTGGAGAAAGTAGACAAGATCATTGGAGCTGTTCTTTCAGGTAATAAAGTAGAATTAAGTGATAAATCATCTGGGCCGTATGCACAAATGGATGGTGACACAGCTAAATTAGTCACAACTGTTCATCACAGGCCAATTACATGAGAGATAAAGGGCCATATATCAGCAATGTTCCCGTATAAACAGTTCTGATGTGTCTGGAAGCAGAAGCGTGATAATATGGCTACAATCAACATAGAAGTATCACGCGGGCTCGCCAAACCCAGCCAAACCCCTATCTCCCTGCAGTTTTATAGAGATTAGCATATCACATGAGCCAAACGCTGCGCCGCAATTTAAAATACGATACTGTTACTTTATACAAAAAGTGTAAGCCCTGTTCTTGAACACCAATAAAATAGAAGCATTCCTAGATATTGTGTTCAGTGTGGCCTAATAATTGAAGCATAAAATAGATATCTGGTAACAGAACATTTTAAAACATCAAGATAGATAAGAATTTGGGCTTGGAACATAAATGTCTATGAGGAAAGATAAAAAGAAGAGAGATCTGGGGTTTCTCTGAAGACCCAGCTCTGCGGCCAAGTCCTTCCTGTAGCAAGCTGCCATTGCCATGGAAACCAGTGGGAAGGGCAGTGGGAGATTGTGATGCCTGCGCCGGGGTTTGGGAGGGGTGTGAGGGGTGGGAGGGGGCGAGGGTGGAGAGGAGATGGAGACCAGTGACCGGTGTACTGTCCCCCCAAACCCTCTCCAGAGACTTCATGGAGCTGCAGCTTCCTGAACTCACCGGGAGCACTGCCACCAAGCAGGCCGCCCGAGACACCGCTGTCCCGCCACCTTGATGACAACACCCCCGTATCCCCTCCTGGTCCAGGCTGTCGGGCAGCCCTCGATCCATGGCCTCTCCCAGATAACCAGCAGTCTATACATCAGCAATGGTGTGGCAGCCAATAACAAACTCATGCTGTCTACCAACCACATCACCACAGTCATCAATGTGTCGGTGGAGGTGGCCAACACGTTCTTCGAAGACATCCAGTACGTACACGTGCCCGTTGAGGATGCTCCCAGCTCCCAGCTCTACGACTTTTTTGACCCCATCGCAGATCACATCCACAGCGTGGAAATGAAGCACGGCCGAACGCTGCTGCACTGCGCCGCCGGGGTGAGCCGCTCTGCCGCTCTCTGCCTCGCCTACCTCATGAAGTACCACTTCATGTCTCTGCTGGACGCCCACACGTGGACCAAGTCGTGCCGCCCCATCATCCGGCCTAATAATGGCTTTTGGGAACAGCTTATCCATTATGAATTCAAGCTGTTCAGTAAGAACACCGTTCACATGGTCAGTTCCCCGGTGGGTATGATTCCGGACATCTACCAGAAAGAGGTCTGTTTGATGATGCCGATGGGAGCCATCCCGGCCAATCCCTGACATCTGCTGCAAATCCTCCACCAGCCTTGAACTGAACGTTGAACTTATGTTGGTAAAGAAACTAGAAACCACCTTTTAAAAGGGCAAGCGAAAAGGAGGGAGGGGGAGGCGGGGGGCTTTTAGCTTAGTTATGCCTTATCTTTAAAGAATAAAATGCATTAAATGTAACTTGGTGATAACGTTTCTTATCCTGTGGGCGGCAGGGCATGGCTGCTGGGGCCTGGCCAGAGAGGAGGGTGGGGAAGGTGGTGTCCAGCTTAGATGAATCTGCACCCTGTGACCTGCCAGAGGCTAACCCGGCAGTGAGTCTGTGCTCCCCACCCCCACCATCGCACATGCTTCTTCGCAACCCAAAGCCAGAATCTCCTTTGACACCCTGTGCTTCTTACAGTAAGTGCCAACCTACTGGGTAGGTGGCCTTCTTGGGGTTTTCTGGGAGTCTTGGGGGAGCCTCAGGCCACCCCTGCCCCCACCTTCAACCACAGCGACCCAACTCTGGTTTTCTAGATTATATTTACATATAAAATAGTTTTCAAAAAACCCATTCCACTATATAAAGTTGAAAAACATATTTTCTAGTGCTGTACTATATGGCAGGGTCTCAAGGTGCCCTGGGCACCCCCCCACCAGCCTTTGTGAGAAAGGAACATTAATCCCCTCCTCCAGGGATGCTAAGAGAGAGAGCCCACCCAGCACCAGGCCTCAGTTCCTCTCATGGGCCTTGGCGTGGTAGGCTGGAGCTGCTGGCCAGCACTCAGGTCTGCCACCTCCTCCCGTTATGACTGGGGGCCTCTCAGAGCCTCGGTTTCCTCACCTGTCTCTCCTAGGGTTGCTGAGAGGATTAGATTCCTTAGCATGGGACCTAGCACGCCAATGGTTTCCTGCTTAGAGGAAAGGGCTGCTCTTGCTACTAAGGATGCTCTTTGGCCCTCCTGGTTGGGGATCAGTACATTCATCCTCACAGTGGCATTTCCCCCATCTGTGCACCGCTCTTTGTGTCCATGAAGTGACCTTTCCCAAAAAAATCATCCTGTCTGTAAAAACAAATGGTTTAAAGTTCTTTCGGACCCTACGTCAGAGGAGAGATTTAGAACCTTTTCAGAGTTCCTATTGTGTCATTGTACTTAATCCATGTGCAAGCAAGAAGCAAGTGGCACCATTCCAGTCCCCCACTTCAGCTTCCCCTCAAAGGGTTTGTTTAGAATCACTTCCCTCTGTACACATTTGTTTTCAAATTTTCCTCTTCTTATAAGAACACCAGTCATATTAGGGGCTCATTCTACTCCAGTATGATTTTTCTTTCTCTTTTTTTTATTGAAGTGTAGTTGATTTACAATGTTTCAGGTGTACAGCAAAGTAATTCAGATAAAGGTATGTGTGTACATATGTATATTCTTTTTCAAAAGATTCTTTTCCATTATAACAAGATTTTAAATATAGTTCCCTGTGCTATACAGTCGGTCCTTGTTTATCTATTTTATATATAGTAGTGTGTTTATGTTAATCCCAAGCTCCTAGTTTATCTCTACCCTGCTTTCCCTTTTGGTAACCATAAGTATGTTTTCTACATCTGTGAATCTAGTTCTGTTTTGTAAGTATGTTTATTTGTATCATTTCTTTAGAGTCCGCATACAAGTGATATGATATTTGTCTTTCTCTGACTGATATCACTTAGTATGATCATCTCTAGGTCCACTCATATTGCTGCAAATGGCATTTCATTCATTTTTATGGCTGAGTAATACTCCATTATATATATATATATATATCTTCTTTTTTAAACATTTTTATTGATTTATAATCATTTTACAATGTTGTGTCAAATTCCTGTGTAGAGCAAAATTTTTTATATGTATCTTCTTTATACCACAGCATTTAGGTTGCTTCCATGTCTTGGTTGTTATAAATAGTGCTTCTATGAACATTGAGGTGCATGTATCTTTTTATATTAGAGTTTTTGTCTTTTCCGGATATGTGCCCAAGAGTGGGACTGCTAGATGGATCATATGGTAACTCTATTTTTAGTTTTTTGAGGAACCGCCATACAGTATGACTTCATCTTAACTAATTCCATCTGCATCAACCCTATTTCCAAATAAGGTCACGTTCTGAGGTTTGGGGGGGGTTAGGACTTCAACATATTTGGGGAAGAAGATACAATTCAGCCCATAACAGGACTGTCTCCAGTTTGGGGGGAGTATGCATAAAGTGATATAACCCACATAGACACACACACAGAGAAGAAAAGGATCACGTCACTTGGAAAAAGAGAAGTGTCACAGTGTAAAAGTAAAATATGAGTTATAGTGAACAATAATAATGACCATGTATTCGGAAGCTATTATATGCCAAGCACAGTACTGGCCACTTTACAACAGTGTCTCAAGTCTTTTCAACGGCTTTTCAAAGTAGTTACTGTCCTTATCATACAAATGAGAAAACTGAGGTTCCAAGAGGTTAAGGAATTTGCCCAAGGCAGCACACAGGTGTGAAGAGGTGGCATGCAGACAGGCTCTCTTCTCCTGCATTTCTTTTGAGATCAAGGTAAGTAGATTGAAAAAAAGGATATTTTTGAGCCATTCCCTTGTTTCCCAAAGAGTACGCATACAAATCACCTGGGGAGTTTTTATTATACAGATACTTGGGCCTCACCATCACAAATTTAGATTCAGTAAGTAATAGGTAAGGTCCAGGAAGCTGCATTTTTTTTTAATTGAATTACAGGGTGTCAATTACAATGTGTCAATCTCTGGTGTACAGCACAATTTCCCAGTCATGCATAAACATACATATATTCGTTTTCATGTTTTTTTCCATTAAAGGTTATTACAAGATATTGAACATAGTTCCCTGTGCTATACAAAAGAAACTTTTCAAAAAATCTATTTTTATATATAGTGGCTAACATTTGTAAATCTCAAACTCCCGAATTTATCTCCTTCCACCCCATTTCCCTGGTAACCATAAGATTGAAGATTGTTTACTAAGTCTGCAAGTCTGTTTCTGTTTTGTAGATGAGTTCATAGTGTCTTTTTTTTTTTTTTTAGATTCCACTTATGAGTGATAAATGGTGTTTTGCTTTTTTTTCTGTCTTTCTGGCTTACTTCACTTATAATGATGATCTCTGGGTCCATCCATGTTGCTGCAAATGGCATTATTTTATTCTTTTTTATGGCAGAGTAGTATTCCATTGTATAAATATACCACTTTTTTATCCAGTCATCAGTCGATAGACAGGAAGCTGCATTTTTAACAAGCACCTTAAATGACCCTGATGAAGGCTAAGAAATGTCAACCAAACAGTAGTGAATGCATGAATATTAGGTATTTCATATCTTCTCATCTTTGTCCTTCTTTTTTGAATTATCTCTTTATGCACTAAGACAATTTTCTATGTAAATTTTTTCTTTTTCTTTTTAGTTGTGGGACCTGAAATATAGAATACAGATACTCAAGTTTTTTTTTTAACATTTTTTTTTATTGAGTTATAGTCAGTTTACAATGTCGTGTCAATTTCCAGTGTAGGGCACAATTTTTCAGTTATACATGAACATACATATATTCATTGTCACATTCTTTTTCACTGTGAGCTACCACAAGATCTTGTATATATTTCCCTGTGCTATACAGTATAAAGATACTCAACTTTTCTTGTCAAATACATTGCATATATTTCCCCACTTTATCACATGCCATTTGTTGATGGTGCTTGTTTGTGATTCAAAAGTTTAAATTTATGTAGCTAAATCTACAAATCTTTAACTGAATTGTTTTTGCTTCTGAATGACACTTTGAAGGTTTTCTCCAGTGCGTAATCATAAAAATGTTAACTATTATTTCTCCTCATTTATATTTTTTTCACTTTTAAACCTTCCCCCCTTTTTTTTAATTTGAAAATTTTCAAACATCCAAAAAGGTTAAACAATTGTGCTAGCCTTTTGTCATATATGCTTTCTCTCTCAATATAATGCTTTTTTCTCTGACCCATTTGAAAATAAGTTGCAGATACCATGACCCTTCACCCTTGAATATTTCAAAATGCATCATCTAAGAATAAGGACATTCTCCTACATACTCAAAATATCATTATCAAACCTAAGCCAATTAATTAACAGTAATTCTCTAAGACTCAATCAATATTTAAATTTTTCCCAAAATGTCTTTTATAGCTATTTTTTTCTTTCTTAAACAGGATCCAATTAAGAGCACACATTATATTTCATTATTGTATTTGTTTTAATCTAGAACAGTGCCCTTGCTCTTTTCTCTCCTGACATTGTCTTTTTGATGAGTCTGGAACAATTTTGTGGTATAAGGTCCAGCACTCTGGATTTGTCCAATTATTTCCTCTTGCTATTGTTTTACTTGTTCCTTTATCATTTGCATTTTCCTTAAACTCGACGTCGAGTCTAGAGGTTTGATTAGATTTGGGTTGAGTAATTTCTCCTCGAACACTTCAGAAGTGCTGTCATGTTGTGTCACATCAGGAGGCACAAATGTCTCTTTGTCCCATTAGCAGTGATGCTAAGTTTGTTAAAAAAAAATCCTTTTTTTTTTCATGGAGGTACTGCGGATTGAACTCAGGACCTCATGTGTGCTAAGCATATCCTTTACCACTGAGCTGTAATTCCACCCACAGTGGTACCAAGTTTGATCACTTAGTTAAGATGGTGACCACCAGATATCTGCTTTTAAAACTAGTAAGCAATCTGTAGGGCGATACTTTTATACCATGTGAATATCCTGGTTCTTTCATCCAATAATATTAGTATTCATTAATGATTTTTGCCACCATCAATTATTACACTGGGGGACATGTGACACTTAAATCCATCCTAAGTTAATTTTGGTCTGTGGTATTTCATATAAGTTGGAGTTACTTAATTTTTAAAAATAATTTTGAGATGTTGCAAAAGCACCATAAATATTTGTCTGCTTTTGTTCCTTCTGGGTTGTTACATCCTCTATCTTTTCTTGTGCCGGTAACACATTCCTTAAAA